GGGTGCGGGGATCGGCCTCCAGCCGGGCCAGCAGGTCAGGGGCACCGAAGGGGTTCAGCAGCTTCCGCTCTGCAGCGGGGGCACAGCGGGGCAGGAGCCCCAAAAACCATCTCAGGGGGGCTGAAACTACCTCAGGGGGGCTGAAACCATCTCAGGGGGGCTGAAATCATCTCAGGGGGCTGGAACCACCTCAGGGGGGCTGAAATCATCTCAGGGGGGCTGAAATCATCTCAGGGGGCTGAAATCATCTCAGGGGGGCTGGAACCATCTCAGGGGGGCTGGAACCATCTCAGGGGGGCTGAAATCATCTCAGGGGGCTGAAACCATCTCAGGGGGGCTGGAACCATCTCAGGGGGGCTGGAACCATCTCAGGGGGGCTGGAACCATCTCAGGGGGCTGAAATCCTGCCCTGGACACCCCACACTCACCTCTCCCCATTCCCCAGGACTCTGAAGCTCTCTGGGCTACCCAAAAACTTTCAGGGCCACCCAAAACCTTTCAGGCACCCCAAAAATCATGTCAGGGAGGCTGAAATCATCTCAGGGAGGCTCAAATCGTGCCCTGGACACCCCAAACTCATCCCTCCCCATTCCCAGGACCCTGAAACTCTTTGGGCTACCCAAAAACTTTCAGGGCCACCCAAAACCTTGCTGGACCACCCCAAAACCTCTCCAGGCCACCAAAAACCTTCCAGGGCCACCCAAAACCTTTCAGGCACCCCAAAAATCGTCTCAGGGAGGCTCAAATCCTGCCCTCAACACCCCAAACTCACCTCTCCCCATTTCCCAGGACCCTGGAACTCTCTGGGCTACCCAAAAACTTTCAGAGTCTCACAGAACCTCTCCAGGGCCACCCAAAATCTCTCCAGGTCACTCAAAATCCTTCAGGGACATCCAAAAACTTCCAGGGCCACCCAAACCTTTCAGGCACCCCAAAAACCATCTCAGGGAGGCTCAAATCCTGCCCTGGACATCCCACACTCATCCCTCCCCATTCCCCAGGACCCTGGAACTCTCTGGGCTACCCAAAAACCTTTCAGGGCCACCCAAAATCGTCCAGGGCCTCTCAAAACCTCTCTGGGCCACCCAAAACCTTTCAAGGTCACTCGAAATCCTTCACCCAAAACCTCTGTGGGTCACCCAAAACGTCTCCAGGCCACTCAAAACCTTTCAGGACCACCCAAAACCACTCCAGGCTACCCAAAACCTTCCAGGGCCACCTAGAACTTCTCCAGGGCCACCCAAAACCTTTTGAGACCACCTAAAACATTTCTGTGCCCCCTAAAACTTCTCTGAGCGACTCAAAACCTTTCGAGGCCACTCAAAACCTTTCGGGGCCACCCAAAATTTCTCTGGATTACTCAAAACTTCTCCAGGCCACCCAAAACCTTCCAGGGCCACCCAAAACCACCCCAGGACCCTGAAACTCTCTAGGTCACCCAAAACCTTTCAGGGCCACCCAAAACCTCTCCAGGTCACCCAAAACCTTTCAGGGCCACCCAAAACCTCCCCAGACCACCCAAAACCTTTCAGGGCCACCCAAACCCTCCCCAGACCACCCAAACCCGTCCCAGGGAGCTCCCCCAGGCCCCCCTACCCGCCAGCCTGGCCTCCACCCCGCGCAGGCCCTGCAGGAGCTGCTCATTGCCCGGCTCCCGGGCCAGCCCCTCCTCGTAGGTGGCCTTGGCCTCCTCCAGGCGCTGCAGGAACTCCAGAGCGGCCGCCTTGCGCGAGTACCCCTGGGGGACACGGGGGGGACACGGGGGGGACACGGGGGGGACGCGGGGTCACAGCCCTGGCCTGGCCTCTGGGGGGCCTGGGACCCCCCACCCTGACCCCCCCCATTGTGGTTAACCCCAACCCTGACCCCCCCATTGTGGTTAACCCCAACCCTGACCCCCCATTGTGGTTAACCCCAACCCTGACCCCCCCATTGTGGTTAACCCCAACCCTGACCCCCCATTGTGGTTAACCCCAACCCTGACCCCCCCATTGTGGTTAACCCCAACCCTGACCCCCCATTGTGGTTAACCCCAACCCTGACCCCCCATTGTGGTTAACCCCAACCCTGACCCCCCATTGTGGTTAACCCCAACCCTGACCCCCCCACACCCATGGACAGACCCCCCCCACTAAGAAGAGACCCCCACCCTGACCCCCCCATTATGGACGGACCCCACCCTGACCCCCCCCACACCCATGGTCAGACCCCAACCTTGACCCCCCCCATTATGGTTAACCCCCACCCTGACCCCCCCATTATGGACGGACCCCACCCTGACCCCCCCCCACACCCATGGTCAGACCCCCACCCTGACCCCCCCCTCCATGGTCAGAGCCCACCCTGACCCCCCCCACACCCATGGTCAGACCCCAACCCTGACCCCTAAAGGACCCCATGGGGACAGTGAGTCCCCCCCTGCTCTGTCCCCTTAGGATCCCCCACCCTGACCCTCCATGTGATCCCCCATGGTCAGACCCCCTGAGACCCCCCCCCAAATCCATCCCCCCATGACCCCACAGGGGCTGTACAGACCCCCCCAGGATAAGCCCCCAACCCTATTCCCTAAATCATCCCAATGAGGGCTGTATGGACCCTGCAGATCATCCCCCCATGACCCCATGGGGGCCGTATGCCCCAAGATGAGGCCCCCATGACAGCTGTACCCCCCCAAATCAGGCCCTCCATGACCCAATAGGGGCTGCACAGACCCCAAAATCAGCCCCCCATGATCCTATAGGGGCTGTACCCCCCAGATCATCCCCCATGACCCAATAGGGGCTGCACACACCCCAAAATCAGCCCCCCATGATCCTATAGGGGCTGTACCCCCCCAGATCACCCCCCTCCATGACCCAATAGGGGCTGCACACACCACCCCCCCCCACCCCATTCCTCCAAGCTCCGCACACACCCCTCACCCTCCTCCCCTCCCCCAGACCCCCCCGAGCCCCTCTCACCCCCCCAGACCCCCCCGGTGCCCCCCGTGCCCACCTTGGCCCAGTCGGGCACAGCTCCAGCGGGCCCAGGCATTGCTGAGCCCCCCATTCCCCCCATCCTCCCCACACCCCCCGAGTCCCCCATTCCCCCCGGTGCCCACCTTGGCCCAGTCGGGGCGCAGCTCCAGCGTGCGGCACGCATCGGCCAGGGCCCGCCCGTAGTCGCCGAGCCGCGCGTAGGCGGCCGAGCGGTTGCTGAACAGGACGTGGTTGTTGGGGGTCCCGGGCGATGGCGGCCGAGTAGTGCCCCACGGCCGCCCCCACGTCCCCCGCCGCCAGCGCCCGGTTCCCCCCGCTCCTTCAGCTCCTGAGCCTGCCCGAGCCGCACCGGGAACACGGCGGGAACCGGAGAGGAGGACACGGAACGGGAGAGGGGGACACGGAACGGGAGAGGGGCACACGGAACGGGAGAGGGGCACACGGAACCGGAGAGGAGGAGAGGAAGAGGAGGCACGGGAGCAGGAAAGGAGGAACGGGAGAGGGAGAAAAGGAACGGGAGAGGGAGAGGAAGAGGAGGCACGGGAACAGGGAGAGGAAGAGCAGGCACGGGAATGGGGAGAAGAGGGAGAGGAGGCACGGGAGCAGGAAAAGGGCGGAACGGGAGAGGGAAGAAAAGGAACGGGAGAGGGACAGGAAGAGGAGGCACGGGAACGGGGAGAGGGAGAGGAAGAAGAGGCAGCGGAATGGGGAGAGGGAGAGGAAGAAGAGGCAGCGGAATGGGGAGAGGGAGAGGAAGAAGAGGCACGGGGAGCGGGAGAAGGGGCACGGAAATGAGGAGAGGGGGGAGAGGAAGAGAAGGCACGGGAAAGGGAAGGGAGGAGGAAGAGCAAGCAGGGGAGCGGGGAGAGGAAGAGGAGGCACGAGAACGGGGAGAGGGTGAGGAAGAGGAGGCACGGGAATGGGAGAGGGTGAGGAAGAGCAGGTAGGGGAACGGGAGAGGGGACACGGGAACGGGAAAGGAGGAAGAGGAGGCACGGGAACGGAGAGAAGAGCAAGGAGGAGAACGGGGAGAGGGTGAGGAAGAGGAGGCACGGGAACGAGAAGGGAAGAGGATGAGGGAGAGGAGGGGAAAGGGACGGAGGGAAAACAGCGAAGGGCCGGGAGCAGCAAGGGGCGAGGAAGATGAGGAGGATGAAGGTGTCAGAAGACGAGGAGGATGAAGGCGCACAAGGAACGAGGATGAAAGGGGCGAGGAGGATGAGGATAACGAAGGTGCGAGGAAGATGAAGGATGAAGAAGCAAGGGAGGACAAGTGACAGGCAGAGAGAAGAGCGTGAGCAAGGCCGGAAGGATGAAGACGAGAGCGGTGAAGATGAAGGAGAAGCGAAGAAGAGGAGGGAAGGAAAAAGAACAAGAACGTGAGCAAGGAGGCGCTTCCCGGAGACCACAAACCCCTCCAGGACCCCCTCGCCCCCTCAAGGACCCTGAACCCTCCGGGGACCCCCTCAGGGACCCCCAAACAAGCCCAAACCGCCCTGAGCCCTCTCAGGGCGCCGTCCGTCCCCCCTCAGCTCCCTCAGGGACCTCCAGACGAGCCCAAACCACCCCGAGCCCCCTCAGGGCCCCGCGCTCCCCTCAGAGCGCCCTGACCCCGGCAGCGACCCCCGAGCCCCGTTCGGGATCGCCATAAAACCCAGCCCCGATCCCCAGCCCTGCCCCCGGAGCTGCCCCGGTCCCGGTTCCCCTCAGGCCCTTCCGCCCGCCCCGGGACCCCCCTCAGGGCCGCTCCCCCCCACCTCCTCCATGGCCGCGGCTCCGCTCCCGCCGCTCCCGCGCCGCCCTCTGGAAGCTGCTAGAACCCTGCGGCCACGCCCCCCGCGCCCCATTGGCCGCCTGCCCCGCCCGCCCGCCCCCCGCTCACGCTCCCATTGGCTGTCTCCCGCCTTCCCGTCTTTCCATTGGCTGCTAGGCGCAGCGGGGCGCGCCCCTTTCCAGACGGAAGCCGGCATCGGGGCCCGCCCACGCGTGCTCCCATTGGTTGTGTCTCCCGGCGCTGGGCGCTCATTGGCTGAGCTCCTCTGGGACTTCTGGAATTTTCCGCTTCTCCCATTGGCTGCGAGCGGCGCTGGATCACAGAGGGCGGGGGGGGGAGACGGGGAGCGCCCCCCTGGCGGCGCGGAGGTCTCGCTGGGAAGGGAGAGAGGGGCGGGGCTTTCACGGGGGCGGGGCTTGCACTAAATAGGCGGGGCTTGCACTAAAGGGGCGTGGCTTGCACGGGGGACCCTCTCCCGTGGCCATGGCAGTCACGGAGGGGAATCCAAGGGGTGACGACTGACACACGCGTGACCTTGGCAGGGCCCTGCTGTGACCCCTCCCCTCCCCACCCCCACCCCTCGTGTCCCCCTCCACCCCTCCCCCATTGCTCGTCCTGCTCCGAGGGGTCCCCGTGTCACCACCCCCGGGACCCCCAGGGACACCCCCACCCCTCCCGTGCCACCCCCCAATGTCACATCGCCCCTCCCCCAATGTCACATCGCCCCTCCCCCAATGTCACATCCCCCCCTCCCCCACCCCAAATTTGCCCCCCGGACCCCCCCGTCCCACGGGAAAGAGGCGCCGGCAGGAAAAGGAGCCGCTGGGTTTATTGGGGGGAGGAAGGGGGGGGGGGCAGAGGGGGGATTTTGGGTCCCCCTTGGCCCTCCTGGGTCGGTTTGTCCTGATTTTGGTCCTTTTTACCCAAATCCAACGGCAGGGGCGGGGGGAGGGGTGAAGGCACCTCGCGGGGGAGGGGAAGGGGGGGGCACGGGGGGAGGGGGGACCCACCCCGACCCCTGGGTCCTCCCCACCCCCAGGCTCTGTCGGGGCCTGGGGTCCTCCCGGAGGTCCCAAGGAGGGGGGGGTCATGGCTGTCGGGGTCCATCCACTGCCCCACACCCCCCTCCAAATCCCATTCCTGCACCAAATCTGCCGTTTTTCCCCCCAAAAAGCCGCGGTGCCGAAAAAAATCCACCTTAAAAAAGCCAAAACGCCCCTAAAAGTCTCCCCCCCCCCCAAACGTCCTCAGAGCCAGGCCCGGGAGGGGATCCCCCACCAAAACGGGCAGGGCGGGGAGGGGGGGGTGTCCCAAAACAAGAGGCCGCCCCCTCCCCCATCCATCAGGACCCCCCTCCCACCCCCCCATGCGGCACCTGCCCCCCCCGGTAGCCCCGCACCGCCGGGGGGGGGCAGCGGCGGCGGCGGCGGCGGCGGCGGGGGGGGGGAACACGGTGCGGATCCCGCCCTCGTCCGGGGCCCGCAGCGGCCGCAGCGCCAACCGCGCCCCCCCCCCCGCCGCCTTTGGGGGGCGGCAAGCGGCGGCGCCCCCAGCCCCATCCTCCTCCTCCTCCTCCTCCTCTTCCTCCAGCACCCCCCCAGCACCCCCAGCACCACCCCGGCCGCCGCCGCCGCCGCCGCCCCCAGAGCCGCGGCCGGGGGCAGCAGCGCGGGGCTCGCATCCCCCCCGTGGCTCGGCGGGGCCGCACCGGTTTGGGGGGGGTCCCCGGCACCGGCCCGGGCCTGGGCGCAGAGCGGGGGAGCGGCGGGCGGCTCCAGGGCGGCGAGGCACACCCGGTACGGGGCTCGGGGCTGCAGCGCCCGCACCACGTACTCGCCGCGCTCCCCCCGCACCAAGGTCTCGGTCACGGCTCCCCCCCCGGGCCGCAGCCAGCTCAGCCTCAGCGACGCCCCGGGAGGCGCCGGCGGCCACCGGACCCGCAGGGCCCCGCCAGGAGCCGCCTGCACCCAGAGCCCCCGGCGCGGCGGCGGCCGCTCCTCCCGGCGCCGCGGGGGGAGACACCGGCGGAAACACCGGGGGACGTCCCCGCGCCCGTTCCCCCCGCGGCTCCCGAGTTCTCGCAAGCGTCCATCTCCCCCCGGAGCTCTCCCACCGGCAGCCCCCGCAGCCGGGCCGGGGCCTGGCACAGCAGCCCCCGCACCTCCAGGCGCGGCGGGGCGCGGCGCCGCAGCCAGTCCCGCAGCCAGGCCAGGTTACAGCCGCAGAACCAGGGGTTGTTGCGCAGCCCCAGGTGGCTCAGGCTGCCCAGGTCGTCGAAGAGCCCCCGGGGCAGCGTGGTCAGGTTGTTGTCCGACAGATCCAAGCGCTCCAGCGCCCTCATCCTCGCCAGAGCTCCGGCCGGCACGTGGCTGATGGCGTTGGCGGCCAGCGAGAGGCGGCGGAGCCGGGCCCGGGGCAGGTTGGCGGGGGGCGCCGCCAGCGCGTTGCGGCCCAAGGAGAGCTCGCTGAGGTTCCCCAGGCGGCTGAAGGTGTCGTCGGCCATGCGCTGGTTCGCCAGGAGGTTCCCGTCCAGCACCAGGCGCCGCAGCGCCGGCAGCCCCTCGAAGGCCCGCAGGGGAATGGTGTGGATGCGGTTGTCGTCCAGGCGCAGCTCCTCCAGCGCCGGCGGCAGCCCCGCGGGGACGCTGCTCAGGTGGTTCCGAGAGAGGAAGAGGAGGCGCAGCGGCGGTTCTCGGCGAACGCGTCCTCCTCGATGCCGGCCGCCGACACGGAGTTATCGTCCAGGTGCAGCCGCTCGAGCAGCGGCGCCCGGGCCAGCGCCCGGCGGCAGAGGCCTCGCACGTTGTTCTCCTGCAGGTGCAGCTCCCGCAGAGCCGGCGGCAGGTGAGCCGGCAGCTGCTCCAGGGCGTTGGCGTACAGGTAAAGCACCCGCAGCGCCGGCAGCCGGCCCAGGCGAGCCGGGATGCCCGCGTCGCCGATGCGGTTGTTCTGCAGGAACAGCGTGGTGGCACCGGGAGGGAGCCCCTCGGGCACGGCCGTCAGCCCGCGGTCGTTGCAGTAAACGCGGCCGCCGGAGCAGCGGCAAACGGCGGGACAGGCGCCCACGGGGCTCACGGCGCTGGTCAGCAGCAGGGGGAGGGCGGTGGTCAGCACGGGGAGGGCGGCCACGGGGGTCGCGGTGGGCAGCAGGGGGATGCCGGTGGTCAGCAGGGGGATGGTGGTGGTCAGCAGAGTGGTGCCAGTGGTCAGCAGGGTGATCACGGTGGTCAGCAGGGCGGTCACAGTGGTCAGCAGCAGGGTGGTCGCAGTGGTCAGCAGGGTGGTGGCAGTGGTCAGCAGCAGGGGGATGCCGGTGGTCAGCAGGGTGGTCACGGTGGTCAGCAGCAGGGTGGTCACAGTGGTCAGCAGAGTGGTGCCAGTGTCAGCAGGGTGGTGGCAGTGGTCAGCAGCAGGGTGGTCCCGGTGGTCAGCAGGGTGATCACGGTGGTCAGCAGGGCGGTCACGGTGGTCAGCAGCAGGGTGGTGCCAGTGGTCAGCAGGGTGGTCGCAATGGTCAGCACGGTGGTCGCAGTGGTCAGCAGCAGGGGGATGCCGGTGGTCAGCAGGGTGGTTGCAGTGGTCAGCAGCCTTTGGGGTCCCCCCCCCCGCGGTGACCGGGGGACGGGGAGGGGACGGGGAGGGGGGGCCATGGGTGGATGGGTGGCCTGAGGGAGGAGGGGGAGGAGAGAGGGGAGGGCTCAGGGGGGTGGGGAGGGGGGGGTGGTCGTGACCCCTCCCCAGCTTGAGCCCGAATGTAAAGCAGGACCCTCCCCCATATGCACCCCCCATTAAAGGGGGCCAGGATCCCCAGCCTGACCCTAAATGAAAGGCAGGACCCCCCCCCCATTAAAGGGGGCCAGGACCCCCAGCCTGACCCCAAATGAAAAGCAGGACCCCCCCTCAGACCCTATTAAAGGGGGACCAGGACCCCCAGCTTGACCCCAAACATAAAGCAGGACCCCCCCCCCATTAAAAGGGGACCAGGACCCCCAGCCTGACCCTAAATGAAAGGCAGGACCCCCCTCTCAGCACCCCCATTTAAGGGGGACCAGGACCCTCAGCCTGATGCCAAATAAAAGGCAGGACCCCCCCCATTAAAGGGGGACCAGGACCCCCATCTTGACCCCAAATTAAAGGCAGGACCCCCCCCATTAAAGGGGGACCAGGACCCCCCAGCCTGACCCCATAGAGAACGCATGGACCCCTCTCCCCCTCCATTACAGCCCCCCCCCAACACCTCCTGACCCCTCCCCCCCCTTAGGGCCCTCCCCCGACCCCAAACCCAGACCAGGGACACCCCGAACCCCCCCTGCCCATCCTGGGGGGGGTCCCCCCATCCCCTCCAGGTGTGTCCGGGGCGGGGCGGGGGGCGGGGCCGTACCTGGCGCCTGTCGCTCCCCTCGGGCTCCTCCTCGTGCCCGGCCGTGCTCACCGGGCCCGGTGCTCCATGGCCCCCCCGCCCCGCCGGGGGGGCCGCTGGGGGTGGGGAGGGGGCGTCAGTCATGGGAGGGGGGGGGGTGGGGTCCTCATGCGACAGCTCCCCCCCCCCCTTAATGTGACACCCGGCGGGACCCAGGTGTGCGGGCCCCTTCCCGCACCCCCCCGGGGCTTCATTAACAGCGCGGTTAATGAGCCCCCCCTCATTAGCAGCGCCTCGTTAGTGCCCCCCCCCCCCCAGGGACCCCCTTGCGTCAGCCCCGGGCTCGGGGGGGGCTCAGGTGACACCCCCGGGGAGGGGGGAGGGGACACAGGTGACACCCCCAGGTCACCCCCCCGTGAGCCCTTGGGGGGGGGGTCAGGGTGGGGTTTTTTGGGGGGGGTCCCATGGAAATGGGGGGGGGCGCTGCCCCAAAGCCTGGTCCTGCCCCCCCTCCCCTCCCCCTCCTGGAGCATCCCCGGCTCCCGGGGGGTCTGGGGGGGTCTGGGGGTGCTGCTAGAAGGGGGGGGGGTCCGGGGCTGTTTTTGGGGGGGGGTCAGACCCCCCGACCCCTCTTCCCTCCCCTCCCCCAGCCCGGACGGTCCCTCCCCCCTCCTCTGCCCCCGCTGGAGCATCCCCGGTACCGGGAGGGTTTGGGGGGGGTCCCGGGGGTCCCGCGGGGATTTGGGGAGCCCGGGGGGGGTGGGGGGGGGCGCTCCTGGGTCTCCCCCTCCCCTCGCGGCCGCCCGGGCCCCTCCCCCCGGAATGGCTGGAGCATCCCTGGCAATGGGGGGGGGGGTGGGGACACGGCGCATTTGGGGGGGGTCCCTTGGTGGTGGTGGGGGGGGGGTCCCTGTGTGTGTGGGGGGGTCCCTGGGTGCGGGGGGGGTCGCTCCGAGGGGGTCTCGGGTGGGAACGGGCCCCGCTCCGGCCCAACGGAGCCTCCCCGCCCCCCCCCGCGCTGGAGCATCCGCGGGTACCGGAGCGGGAGGGGGAGGGGGAGGGGATGGATTTGGGGAGGGGGTCCCGGGGATGGGGGGGGGGGGGGTCCGGGGGGTCCTTACCGGGTGGCTCCGGCCGGCGCGTGCGGGCCGGCGGCGGCGGCGGCGGCGGCTGCGGGCGTGGGAAGGCGGCGGCGGAGGGGGGGGGGGGGGGGGAGGCAGGACCGGGACCGGGACCGCCCCGGTGCGGGGGGAATGGGGGGGGGCGGGATGGACCAACCGGGACCGGCACCGGGACCGCCCCCCCCCGGTACCGGGGAATTTGGGGGGGTGGGATGGGAATTTGGGGGGTGGGATGGACCGGACCGAACCGGGACCAGTCCCCCGGTGCAGGGGGATTTTGGGGGGGGGGAGGTGTGGGATGGACCGGATCGGGACCCCCCCCCCCTCCGGTACCGGGGAATTTGGGGATTTGGGGTCGGTGAATCCGGGGCACGGCTGAATTTGGGGAGGGGGCGGTGGCGATTCCGTGCCCTCGGGTTTTGTTGGGAAGGGGGGGGTGGGAATAGCCCGGGACCCCCCCCCCCGGTGTGGGGAGGGGCGGATTTGGGGGTCCCGTAGGGGGGGGGTTCTTTGTCCCCTCACAGGTCCCGCCCCTGGGCTGGGCGAGGTTTGCGGTGCCCCCTCCCCAAAATTGCCCCCCCAGGCCCCAAACTGTCCCCCCCAGCTCCCACAAACCTCAGAGACCCCCGAGTGTCACCCAAAGGGGTCCCCAAATCCCCTTCCCCCACCTCAACCCCCCAAAAAGGGTCCCCAACCCCTTCAATTCCCCCAAAAGGGGGGTCCCAACCTCCTCCCACCCCCGCAACTGCCCCAACTCCCTGTTCCTGCCCCCAAATTCCCCCTCACCACCCCAAACTGCCCCTTCCTCACCCCAAAACCCCCCCTCACCTGCCCCAAATTCCCCCTCCCCACCCCAAACTCTCCCTCCCCACCCCAAACTGCCCCTTCTCCACCCCAAACTGCCCCTTCCTCACCCTAAACTGCCCCTTCCTCACCTCAAATTCCCCCTCCCCACCCCAAATTCCCCATCCCCACCCCCCCTCCCACCCCAAACTGCCCCTTTCTCACCTCAAATTCCCCCTCCCCATCCAACTCCCCCTCACCTGCCCTAAACTGCCCCCTTCCCCACCCCAAACTGCCCCTCCCCACCTCAGATTCCCCCTCCCCACCTCCCCAGAGCATCTGACCCCCTCCCCGACCTCCCCCTCCCCAAATAACCGACCCCACTCAGCCCTTGGGGCCACATCTTTATTTTGGGTGGGTGGGGCGCAGCGGGGAGGGGTCTCGGGGAGGGGGGGGAGGGCAGGCGGAGCTCGGGGGGCCCCCGGGGGTGTCCCGGGGCGGGGGTCTCGGGCCGGGGGTCACTTGTAGAGGATGTCGTAGTGGCCGGGGCGGTAGAGGAGGCAGACGCGGGGGCTGGGAGCCCTCGGGGAACACGTGCGGGTTGGTGGCGCCGCCCTCGCGCCCCGGTCCATGGTACTCCACCAGGATGGAGACGTGCAGCGCCCGCGCCAGCGCGATGATGTGGATGTGGTCGCTCTCCTTGCACATGGGCTCCACCTCCTGCGGGACAGACAGACAGACAGACAGACAGACAGACAATGGTCAGGGATGATGTGGATGTTGTCGCTCTCCTTGCACATGGGCTCCACCTCCTAGGGACGGACAGACAGACAGACAGACAGACAATGGTCAGTGTGATTGCCCTCCTTGCACATGGGCTCCACCTCCTGAGGGACAGACAGACAGACAGACAGACAGACCAGACAATGGTCAGCGATGATGTGGATGTGGTCGCTCTCCTTGCACATGGGCTCCACCTCCTAGGGACAGACAGACAGACAGACAGACAGACAGACAATGGTCAGGGATAATGGTCAGTGTGGTCGCTCCCTTTGCAAATGGGCTCCACCTCCTGCGGGACAGACAGACAGACAGACAGACAGACAGACAGACAATGGTCAGTGTGATGGCTCTCCTTGCACATGGGCTCCACCTCCTGAGGGACGGACAGACAGACAGACAGACAGACAGACAATGGTCAGGGATGATGTGGATGTGGTCGCTCTCCTTGCACATGGGCTCCACCTCCTGAGGGACAGACAGACAGACAGACAGACAATGGTCAGTGTGATTGCTCTCCTTGCACATGGGCTCCACCTCCTGAGGGACGGACAGACAGACAGACATTGGTCAGTGTGATTGCTCTCCTTGCACATGGGCTCCACCTTCCTGCATGGACAGACAGACAGACAGACATTGGTCAGTGTGGTCGCTCCTCCTTGCACATGGGCTCCACCTCCTGAGGGACAGACAGACAGACAGACAGACAATGGTCAGTGTGATGCCTCTCCTTGCACATGGGCTCCACCTCCTGAGGGACAGACAGACAGACAGACAGACAATGGTCAGTGTGATTGCTCTCCTTGCACATGGGCTCCACCTCCTGAGGGACAGACAGACAGACAGACAGACAGACATTGGTCAGGGATGATGTGGATGTGGTCGCTCTCCTTGCACATGGGCTCCACCTCCTAGGGATGGACAGACAGACAGACAGACAATGGTCAGGGATAATGGTCAGTGTGGTCGCTCTCCTTGCACATGGGCTCCACCTCCTGCATGGACAGACAGACAGACAGACAGACAATGGTCAGTGTGATGGCTCTCCTTGCACATGGGCTCCACCTCCTGCAGGGACAGACAGACAGACAGACAGACAATGGTCAGGGATGATGTGGATGTGGTCGCTCTCCTTGCACATGGGCTCCGCCTCCTGCAGGGATGGACAGACAGACAGACAGACAATGGTCAGCGTGGTCGCTCTCCTTGCACATGGGGCTCCACCTCCTGAGGGCACGGACAGACGGACAGAGAGAGGGGACAGTGGTCAGTGGGGTGTGGGGGACACAGAGGGGACGGACAGTGGACATTGCTCAGGGACACCACAGCGGTCAGTGAGGCTGTGCCCGTGGCCACTCCTTGCACGTGGGCACACGCCCAGGTGTGCCCCAGGTACAGTGACAGCTGCCCAGGTGTGCCCCAAGCACAGTGACAGCTGCCCAGGGCCTCAGGTACAGTGACAGGTGCCCAGGTGTGCCCAGGTGTGCCCCAGGTGTGCCCCAGGCACGGTGACAGCTGCCCAGGGCCCTCAGGTACAGCGCCAGAGCCACCCCAGGTGTCCTCACGTTGGCAGAGGCATCTCAGGTGCTCCAGCTACAGTGCCCAGGTGTCCCAGACATGGTTCCAGAGGTGTCCCTCACATGGTGGCACAGGTGCCCAGGTGCCCCACAGCCAATGCCCAGGTGCCCAGGTGCCCCATAGGCAGTGCCCAGGTGCCCCACAGCCAATGCCCAGGTGCCCCTAGATGATGCCCAGGTGCTCGTACCTGCTGGCAGAACTGCCAGGTGCCCCATAGCCAATGCCAGGTGCCCCATAGATGATGCCCAGGTGCCCAGTGCCCCTGCCATGGTGCCCAGGTGCCCAGGTGCCCGTACCTGCTGGCAGAGCTGCCAGGTGCCCCACAGCCAATGCCCAGGTGCCCAGGTGCCCCATAGCCAATGCCCAGGTGCCCATAGATGATGCCCAGGTGGCCCGTACCTGCTGGCAGAGCTGCCAGGTGCCCCATAGCCAATGCCCAGGTGCCCAGTGCCCAGTGCCCCTGCCCAGGTGCCCCATAGATGATGCCCAGGTGCCCGTACCTGCTGGCAGAACTCCTTGATGCTGCGGCCGCCCTCCAGGAACTGCTCGAAGAAGCGCCGGTGGCGCTGCAGGCAGCCCGAGGTGAGCAGGCGCAGGTACACGACCAGGTAATCGGACGTGGCCGGCTCGTTGAACGCAGCCAGGAGCTCGGGCAGCGGCACCCGGCGCTCCACGCGCTCGATCAGCTCCATCAGCTGGAAATACACACCTGGGTGTCACCTGTGTGTCACCTGTGTGTCACCTGTCACACCTATCATACACCTGTCACACACACCCGGCGCTCCACGCGCTCGATCAGCTCCATCAGCTGGAAATACACACCTGGGTCAGGTGTGTGTCACCTGTGTGTCACCCGTGTCACCCGTGTCACCTGTCACATCTATCATACACCTGTCACACACACCCGGCGCTCCACGGCGCTCGATCAGCTCCATCAGCTGGAAATACACACCTGGGTGTCACCTGTGTGTCACCTGTGTGTCAGCTGTGTCACCTGCGTGTCACCTGTCACATCTATCATACACCTGTCACACCTGTGTGTCACTTGTCACACCTGTGTCACGCCTGTCACACACACCCCGGCGCTCCACGCGCTCAATCAGCTCCATCAGCTGGAAATACACACCTGGGTCAGGTGTGTGTCACCTGTGTGTCAGCTGTGTCACCTGTGTGTCACCTGTCACACCTATCATACACCTGTCACACCTGTGTCACATCTATATAACATCTGCCACACACACCCGGCGCTCCCACGTGCTCAATGAGCTCCATCAGCTGGGGGGACACATCTGGATCAGGTGTGTGTCACACCTGTGTGTCACCTGTCACATCTATTGTACATCTGTGTCACCTGTGTCACACCTATCATACACCTGTCACACCTGTGTCACACCTGTCACACACACCCGGCGCTCCACCAGCTCCATCAGCTGGGAATACACACCTGTGTCGCCTCTGTGTCACCTGTCACATCTATCATACACCTGTGTCACACACGGTCACACCTGTGTCACACCCATGTAACACCTGTCACACCTGTGTCACACCTGTCACGCACCTGTCTCACCTGTGTCACACCTGTGTCGCCCTCTCTGAGCCCCCCAGACCCCAGAGCCCCCCAGACCCACCTTGAGCCCCCCAAAGCCCCCTCAGAGGCTCCCCAACCCCAACCCAGACCCCCCAAACCCCCCAGAGCTCCTCTGAACACCCCCAAACCCCCTCAGAGCCCCCAGACCCACCTGGAGCCCCCTAAAGCCCCCTCAGAGCTCCCCAACCCTACCCCAGAGCCCCCCAAAACCCCAGAGAGCCCCTCCAGAACCCTCTCAGATTCCCCCATCCCAAGGTCCAGCCCTCCTGGACCCCCCCAAAGCCCCCCAGACCCCCCTAGGACCCCCCAGAGCCCCCCCAGCCCCCAGCCCCACCGTGTTGTGGAAATCCTCGATGGTGAACTCGGTGAAGCCCTGAGCCACCAGCTCCTCCTTGCTGCGCGCCGACACCTCCTTGAACCTGGGGGGCACCGAGGAGGGGGGCTCAGGGGGCACCCACAGGGGGCTGGGGGCACCCACAGGGGGCTGGGGGCACCCACAGGGAGCTGGGGGGGCACCCAAAAGGAGCTTGGGGGGCACCCACAGGGGGCTTGGGGGGCTCGGGGGGTGATTTCTGGGGGTTCTGGGGGGGTTTTTGTGGTCCCCGGGCTATTTTTGGAATATTTTTGGGGTCCTCGGGCTGTTTTGGTGTATTCTTTTTTTTTTTTTTTTTTGTATTTTTGGGTTCCCCAGGGTGTTTTTGGGGCTGTTTTGGTGTATTCTGGGGGTCCAAGGGCTGTTTCAGGTTATTTTTAGGGTGTTTTGGGCTGTTTTTGGGGTGTTTGTTTTGGGGTGTTTCAGGGTGGTTTTGGATCCCTGGACTGTTCCAGGCTGTTTTGGAGGCTGTTTGTGCCATTTTTTGGGCTGTTCCAGGTTATTCTGGGGCAGTTTCAGGTTATTTTGGGGCAGTTCCAGGTTATTTAGGGGCAGTTCCAGGTTATTTAGGGGCAGTTCCAGGCGGTTTTTGGGGCTGTTTGTGCCATTTTTGGGCTGTTCCAGGTTATTTAGGGGCAGTTCCAGGTTATTTAGGGGCTGTTCCAGGCCGGTTTTGGGCTGTTCCAGGCCAGTTTTGGGGCTGTTTGTGCCGTTTTTGGGCAGTTCCAGGTTATTCTGGGGCTGTTCCAGGTTATTTTGGGGCAGTTCTAGGTTATTTTGGGGCAGTTCCAGGCCGTTTTTGGGGCTGTTTGTGCCGTTTTTGGGCAGTTCCAGGTTATTCTGGGGCTGTTCCAGGTTATTTTGGGGCAGTTTCAGGTTATTTTGGGGCAGTTCCAGGTTATTTAGGGGCTGTTCCAGGCCAGTTT